GGAAGAATTTTAAGAAGATGGTATGTTATGCTGCATGCTATATACTGTTGTCATGTGCTATATACTGCTATAGACTGTTGTTATATTCTGTTGAAATATTCTATATGCTGTTGCTATATACTATTGTATATATACATTACTACCACAAATCCTATTTCTTCTCTCTACAGTTGAGATGTCAATTGATGATCCACCAGTAGATGAAAGAAATGTTCCAGTGACATTTGAGATCATAAGAAATGGGTCAAAGAAGGGTGGGGACAAACTTGTTGATAGCCTGGGCCACCAATATAACATCAAACGCCATCAAAAAAGTTCCACTCATCGGCAGTGTATGGTGAGACCCAAATGGTATGCCTGTACTACTATGGTTATTCAACGTGATGGAAGCTTTGAAGTAAAGGGCAACCACAACCACATTGTTAAAGTTGGAGCAGCAGTGGCTGTTAAAATTGTAAAAGACGTCAAAGCATCAACCATTGTGTGGGAGGTAACTGGTGGAACAAATTGATATTTATTCAGTATGCGTGATAACATTTATAATATATAAAGCCAAAATAATTGTCCAAATATACATGTTGTTTATGGAACTAATATTGACCTTTGCTTAATTTGGTTGTTCCAGGTCCTGTTGGAGAAATTGACCAATGCACCCTGTCCTACCCTACTGAATATATCAGCAGAGCAGCAAATAGACTTTGCCAACAACTCTACCCTGATGAACCAAAAGATGTTAACTTTACGCTACAACAGAACCACATCCCAGACGATTTCTTTCAGGCCAACCTGGAATCATCCAACACTTGCCACATCCTGTTCACTACCAGAGAACAACTCAAATACCTCAGCAAAGCAAAAACCTGGTATGTAGATGGAACATTCAAGCTGATTTGTCACCCATTCAGCCAGCTGCTCACAGTCAATGCCTTTGTGAGAAGCGGAGACCAAACCAAAAAAGGTCTATTGCTGTTCCTCCTCATGGCTGAGAAAAGAAGGAGAGATTACAAAGACGTAACTTGTGTGTGAATTTTATGTAACATTAAAAAGTATCGCTTTTCGATGGAGGTTATTGTAATTGTTTTGACAGCTCAATAGTTCTATCAGTTTTTTTAGGTATTTTTTAAATTAACATTTCTCCTTCTCTTGGGTATTCAAAGTTATCCTTAGCCTTTTGATCCAGAAGTGAAGCAGATAACAATAGACTTCAAGGCTGGCTTTTAGGGAACAATTAGGAAATTTATGTGTGGAGAAAGGTATGCTGTTCTTCATCAAAACCACATAGTTAAGCAGTTACATCTATCCATCAACACAAATAATCAATAATCCCTTTTCTATTCTAAGGATTCATTTAATCATTTGATAGATATAAGAGTTGGGTCTTGCAACACAACATAGAGAAGACAATGGGACCTACAAATATCGTAGAGGCTAGTGGCCCTCCCCTTCCTGCCTCCATCAGAGATTGGACCTATATTCCAGAAGCTAAAATCAGATGCACGTGGTGCTGGATTGAACAGATTTGTGGGAGTACTTGAGTGGAAAGTTCAGTTTGGGCTCCAACCTCCTGGTCCATCTACAACGACGTCAATGGCTGGTACACAGCTTTCATAACCAAGCTAGTGGTAGGTGGAAGCTACCTTTATACGTGTTGATAGGGCTTCTTTACAGAGAAGCCCTCCTCACAGTAGTCGATATCCGCTTGGTGTCAGACAGAAAACTGAGAAGAGTCCAGAGAAAGAAGTACAGAGAGATGCAGGCAAAGTTGTTTGTGCACTGGGATGAATACCAGCAGGGGAAGAAGAGTGCCTTGCAACTTCTTAGGTCGTGTTGGTATTAGAATGGACCAAGAGCTAATTAAATGAAACCAATTGGTGAAGAGACTTCAGTCGGAAGTTGTTGTGTATTAGGCCCCCTGTGCACATAGGACCCAGTGTGCTTTGTGTCGGGGGACAAATAAAATACGGCGGACTAGGCCATGAGGTTTACAATACTTGTTCTTGCTAGATACAGGTCATTTGGCGACGAGGATAACTCTACAACCGAACCAAAAACGTTGAACTAAGACACCTTTGGAACACAAACATGGCAGTTTACAGAAAAATCGAAGCATTCAATGTTACTCAAGAAAAATGGATTCCCTAATCGGAACGACTTACACTGTATTTCTTGGCAAATAACTTTGAAAATGAAGAGTTCTTTCTACTGTGGCAAAGAAGGCCACATTGCAAAGGTATGCAGAGCAAAACAAAGATCACAGCAAACCTCATGTTCATTAATAGTTGCCGATGACCCTGTCCCTGGTGAGCTCCATTCATGTGTGGTTTACAAGTTTGTATGCGATTGCTATAATGCCTGTTACATCGGTGAAACGTGCCACCATTTTTCCACACATGTAGGAGAGCACTCAGTCATTGACAGGGCCTCTCACACTTTCAAGCATCTGCAAGATTCTGCACATTGTTGCTCTTTGTGTTCAGCAGATAGCTTCCACGTTTGGATCACACCTCTACCATTTTCCAACTCAAGATAAAAGAGGCTATTCATATTCAAAAAGAACAACCATCCTTGGATCAACAATTACACATTGTAAATCGAAAGCTATCCCTTTTAATTCTCAAACTTTCATGCTTTACCTCTTTTCTTGTTATCACCATTTATCATAATTAGCATTGTTTCCGTCAAGGGACAACTAAAACATGGCGGACTAGGCCACGAGGTTTACAATACTCGTTCTTGCTAGATACAGGTCAGAAGTAATCTGTGAGCAGGTCATGGCTGGATGAATTCAAACTTGCTTAACTCGAATTTTCATAAAATATATAACAACACGTTATTTGTAACAAACAATTGTTTTAGAAACTTGCCTTCAATCACAAATAATAATTTTGTACACTAAAAAGCAGTATCAAAGCATTATGTATAAGCAAACACAAAAAAAACACTATGCACATACTTGGCACATGTACATAAAGATATGTTCGATAAATTGTCTAATTTGTACGAGATCTATCTCCACTATTCTTTTACATTGAATGTCTTGAACTGCTCTATTGTGAAAAAGAGTTAAAGAAGGCTCACATTAGTTATAATGAGCAAATGGCAAGGAAATTATTTGTTAAACTGGGGCAAATTTACATCAGACCCACATATTTTAAATAAGGTCAAAGGATGCAAAATTGAATTTGACCAGCTCCCTCACCAGAGGCAGCCACCTTGCCAACACCAACTTAGTCACAAAGAAGCCAAGACAATCAGTGCTGAGATTGAAAAATCAGTTCTTAAAGGTGTTCTCCTAGGAGGACATCCGTGCAATAATCAAACAAAAAGGAATAATTGTGGCAAGGGTCAAAAATTCAAATTGTCTTAATTATTGCACATAAGTAGACCCTAGTAAGACAAGAAAGGCTGTGTATTTTTTTTCCTCAAATATGTTTTTATTTTCGAGAAAGACGAACTTTTCGCTTTCACCCTCTCGAATCAATGAATCGGGTCATAAGAGGTCGAAAATTGAACACTTTCACTCGCTTCGCTTTTCAAAGATATTACATCAAGGGAAATCTAACCAAAGTGAGCTCTTTTATAGACTCTTCGTCTTCTGTAAAATGAA